GAAGGAGGAGAAGAGGAGGAGGCGGGGCTAGATGGATACTGCAGACCTAGCTGGGCTGTAGGTGGCGGCAAAGCGCCGCAGACATGCTACTGAAGTGTAAACCAAAAAGGTTGTGTTAGCTTCACTGTAATGACGTTAGCCTCCAGGATCATTTTCCGCCCTTAGTGAGTCTGGATACTGGCGACAGACATCAATGAACCTCTACGATCTCTGAAGCGGATCCGCCGTGACCTCCGTGAAGTCAGCTTACTGTGCCCTCAGTAATCTTGAGGGTATGGTGTTATGCCTCTAACCGTTATGCGTAATGTCAAACCGTGAAGGAGCTAGTTAGCTAGCGTGACCATGTAATGCTAGCGTCACATAAACGCCGAGCTAACGTCATTGTTTTCAGTCAGTGTCCGGGACACAGAGCAGGAGTTCAGGAAACGTTGGATTCTAAAAGAAGATAACATGAAACTGTGTGGAATTGTACTTTCACTCTAAGCTGATGCAAGATGAGCCTACCTGACTTAGCTCGTTGTCAGGCTAAGGTCAAGAAGCTGAGCAGTCTGACAGCTAACGTTAACGCTAACTGATATGGTAACGTTACCCAAGAGCCTATAAACGTGTTATGTGGCATCAAGCTGTACTCCTACCAGCAGCACTGGCTAACGTGGGCTGGTGTCGTTTTCCAGATTAAGAGGTAGGTCCGTAAAAGTTTAATTAGCTTCCAGCTAACTCGTTATAAATATAATTGAGGTATAATAATGGAGATTGTTTTAGATTCTGGTGGACTGCACTGTGACAAATTATCAGTATTTTATTACTGCATGACATGTTGAAAATTGAGGTTTGGTGGCTTTGACTAGGTTTTATGGGGTAGTTTCAGCTGCACTGAGTGTGATTAAGACCATACTGCTGTTTATTTGTTGAGGCGCTACTGATGCACAGACCGCCATTCATCCTCTCAAGGCAAGTCAAGCTTTACTGTAATTTAACAATATGTTCAGATACATACCGGCCACTTTATTAGGTACACCTGTATGCAGTTCAATGCCACACTTCCACCTTAACACCCACCACCTTTAACTATGACCGCAATAATAAACATATAATTGAATTTATACTTTGTTTTTGGTGAAATTATCATAAAAGATTTTGAGCTTCAGCACAGATGCTAAGACAAAAATGTTGCACTGAATTGCATGCAAGTGTGCAGGTGTACCTAATAAAGTGGCCGTGAGTGTATAGATGGACTCTATTTGTGTTTACAGTCACAATATAGATCAATAAGGTGCATATTTACAAATAACTGTCTGTACTTCCAAGAATGATCCAGGTTTGGGCCCCGGCCAACCCGAGGCCTTTCAGTGTGGAGTTTGCATGTTCTCCCTGTGCCTGCGTGGGTTCTCTCCAGGTACTCCGGCTTTTTCCTACAGTCCAAAGGCATGCAACCTAGGGTGGTTGGCAACTCTAAATTGCCCATAGGAGTGAGTGTGAGTGAGGGGTTGTTTGTCTGTATGTCAGCCCTGTGATAGACTGGTGACCTGTCCAAGGTGCACCCCACCTCTTGCCCAATGCCAACTGAGATTGGCTCCAGCTCCCCTGTGGTCCTATTCAGGAATAAGCAGTATAGATAATGGATGGATGGATGTGCTTCCTTATGGTTTTGGATACAGTTGATAATACTAGATGGAAGGTAGTAGTGGTAGCGCATTTAGAGTTTTAATGGCCTGAGTGAAAAAGCTATTGTGAAGTCTCTTAGTTCTGGCTCAGCTGCTCCTGTACCTCCGTCAGGGTGGTAAGAGAGTAAAAAGGTTGTGGGAGGGGTCAATGGTGATTCAGGTGGCTCTTTGTGCACACCGTGTTTTAAAAGTGTCCTACAGTGATGGCAGAGGGGAGCCAATGATTCTTTCAGCTGTCTTCACTATCATCTGTAAGGTCTTCTGATCAGGGATGTTACTGTTGCCATACCAGACAATGATACAGTTTGTCAGAATGCTCTCAGTGGCACCCCTGTAAAATGTAATCCTGACAGGGGGAGGGACACTTGCCTTCCTCAGCCTCTGTGGGAGGTGGAGATGCTGCTGAGATTTCTTTGCCAGTGATGTGATGTTGGTAGTCCAGGAGAGCTTGTCATCATTATGCATCCCCAGGAATTTGGTGCTGTTGACCCTATCCACAGCAGAGTCATTGATTATTAGGGGGCAATGGTGAGCACAGTTTCTCCTGAACTCAGTCAGTCTCCTTACTTTTCACTATTTAGGTAGAAATTCTGATTCCTGCACGATCTGCATCACCTAGTCCATCTCCTCTCTGTATGGAGTTCCATCATTCTTATTGATGACACCAACTACTGTTGTGTTATCAGCACGCTTGATGATGAGGTTTGAACTGCATCTGGCCATACAGTCATGGGTCAGCAAAGTGAACAGTATTGGACTGAGCACATAACCCTGAGGAGCTCTGGTGCTCACTGTCTGAGGTTCTGCTGCCAATCCAGACTTACTGTGGTCTTCCTGTGATAAAGTCTAGGTTCCAGTTGCAGAAAGTGGTGTGAAGGCCCAGCATGGCCAGTTTTCACACAAGCATCTGAGGGATGATGGTAGTGAATGCTGAGTTGAAGGTTATGAACACCATTCTTTCTTACCTAAGTGTCCTTGTGTTCCAGGTGGGTCAGAGCAGTGTGAAGAGCAGTGCATATCAAGTCATCAGAAGACTTGTTGGTCTGATATGCAAATTGTAGTGACTCTAGAGTTTCAGGGAAGATGGATTTGATGAACGGCATGACTGATCTCTCAAAGCACTGGGGGTCAGTGTGATTCGTTGGTAGTCATCTAAGCATAATGACGGCCGTCTCTTTGGCACTGGTATGATTGTGGTGGACTTAAGGTGCTTGGGAACAGGTGCCTGACTCAGGGAGATATTGTATATGTCAGTGAGGACATCTTTGAGTTGTTCGGTGCAGTCTCTGAATACACCTCTAGGTATGCCATTTGGCCCAGTTGTGTTGCAGGGGTTGATTCTAGAAAGTGTTCTCTGCGCGCTGGCTGGAGACAGGCGGAGTGTGTGGTTACCAGAGGGAGGAGGAATCATACATGCAGGTGTGTTGTTCAGTGCATCAGACAGTGCATAGAAGTCATGGAGTTGATCTGGGAAGGATGTGTCACTGTTTCAGATCTGTGCCTGGAGTCTGTAATCTGTGATGGAGTTGCACATGTGCCATGTATCTCTGTTGTCTGTAAAATGTTTTATTTTTTGAGTATACCTGTACTTTGCTTCCCTGATACCACGTGACAGGTACCTTACTGGTTTTACAGATTCATATCTGTCATAATAGGAGTGACTGGTGGTTTTCTAGAGGATGTTAAGACTTTTGGCCTTTCTATGCAGTGCTACATATTTAGTAGAAAACGGCTAGTGTTCCCTGTGAAAACCACTGCATAACAATATAACATTGTTGTCAACGTTTGACGGGAGAAAGAAAAGGTTACTCATTCTCTGTCTGCCAGGTTTCTCTCACCATCAGTGGATTTCTAAGTCTCCATACTGAAACGATTGTGACTGTAGAAAATTATATGAAAAAATAGTTTGCTTAACAACAATAAATGTTACGGGAGTACATAAATATTACATGATAAATCAGCCCCACTTTGTGCCTCTCTCTTTTTCTATATTCAAAACTCCTCTGTCCATCTGGACATAAAATTATTGCATCTTTTGCACAATATAGGCCGGTATCCATTGTCCAAGTTGCAGCTCTGTTTTCTTATACAAAAAAACATGGTAACTGAAAATGGCGTGCCCCTGCTTAATGTGTATGTTTGCCTGTCACCATACAAAACTACCAAAATACTGAAAATATAGGTAGAATGAGGAATGATCACCAAGAATAAGCTCATGTTATGTGTCAAAAATGACAGACTTCTGCATATATTTTAAGCTGTCACTACACAATTTATTTACTGTAAACTGTATACACTTTAGACCTGTACAGATTTAGTTATGCTGTTATTTAAGGTTTATTAAATAAAATATAATAAATAAAATAAAAATATAATGGTAGTAGTTAAAATAGTGTTTAATTTTATTTTATAATAAGGTCAGTATTGGTACTGAACTGATTTAAAGCTTTTAAGATGGACCAGGCATTTGGAGGTACATTTTATTTTTATTATATCTCAGTTTTATCCAGGGGATGTACCTCAAACACTCCTATTCCTTTAATATCTCAACCATGCAAGCAGAAGTCCTACTGCAGTCTTTCTTGTGTGAAATACACAAACCTCAGTCTGGGTTGGTGTCTGTTTTTATGAAATCAGCATGTACTGGCACCAAACTATAATTAAAAAAAGAACATGTGACAAACTTCTGTCTACCTGTTGAATTACTCTTTAGACTATAATTTATTATCTTGACCTTTTTTTATAAACTCAACCAAAATTTGGCGCAATTCTTCTCCAAACAGTCAATACTTTATTCCTAAGTGGAGACATAGGAATGTGGTTTCATGAAGAAGGACAGGCCAGTAGTCCTAGTTGTAATCAGCTTGTTGATTAAAAAAATAATCATAATCAAATAATTGAAGATTAATTTATATTTGATTTGATTTGATTTATTCTTTCAAGCATGTAAAAACAGTTGATATGACAACACACATAATTTTACACATAATCCAATATCAATTTGCTTATACCTAGTACATGATTGAATGGAGTAGGAAGAAGTCAGACTTATCCAGTCCTACCCCATGACATCATCTTGCCATCATTGGTTTGCAAGCAGTAAATGATTCATTTCTACCCACACACATATTATACTAAAAAAAGATTATAACAGTGTTAACATTCTTACATCACACAAGTAATATACCAAAGAATTATTACAAAATGTACACCACACCCACAATTGTCCATGTAATTAATCATTGAGCCTGTTCTTGCATATATCTTGATTGACACATACCTTTATATTTATGTTTAAACTCGTCAATTCTATTACCTTATGCACAATTCTTATCGCTCTTTTTTGTAATATATACAATGGTTGAAGTGAGCTTTTGTATGTATTTCCCCAATTTTCAACGCCATACTCCAAGTATGGTAGAATCAATGAAGAATACAAAATGCGTAGTGCTTTCCCGTATATGTATATAACCCTTGCCAATATCGATATATTTTTTGCTATTTTGTTCTGAACATATCTGATATTCAAAATAATCATTAGTTATATAGCCCTAATATTGAGAGTAATTACACAGTTTTACACACCCCATTTTCAACATGAGGTGGGGGGAAAATATTAGACACCTATTTATACAGATGTCACAGCTTAAACCAAAAAATTCGGTCTTCAATAGAAAAAGGAAAAGCCTTATCAGCTGACTGATGTGTTATGAGTTTTGGTTGCCGTGGTAACTCCAGAGTTTTAGGCTTTTGGTGGGAAAGTGCTCCAGATGGTAGACACATGTGGTCTTGGTTGTTTTGACTGCTCTGCATCTCTTGTATCAACCAGATGATTGTTGATAGCACGAATTGTGATTGTGTGTTTGTGTGTGTTGCACAGCAGATGTGGAGTTCTGTCGGGGGATGAGGCAACAGCTGTTTTTGTGTTTTTCCCAGGTGTAGTGTGTGATTTTTGAAACTGACAGATGTGTTTGGGGTTTGTCCCCCACAGGGTTACATCACGATACAGAGAAAGAGT